AGGAAAAGTCTAAGGATTGTCTTCATTTCCCATCCTACCATTTCTCCCTTGGCAATCTCACACTTCATCCTGGCTACAACCCATAAATAAAAGTAGATGACTTCCACACTATCTCTAGCCCAGACCTCTCCTCTGAGTTCTAAATGGTCATATCCAGCTGCCTACTGACATTATCGTGAGATGATAAAAACAGCTTAAACTCAGTAGAGCCAAACCTGGACTCATGATCTTCCTCCCAATCCTACTTCATCTCCGTTCATCTAAGCCGCAAAATACAGAATTCTAGAAGTTTAGACGTTACCAATTTTTTCTCTATTTTTTGTATTAATGTGTATTAATCATAAAAATGGGTTTCATTGTGACATTATACACACATATAATGCACTTTGAGAAGTTGTCCTTAATAGCCTTTCTCTTCCTCTCCCTCCAAGTTTAATCAAGCCTGTGGATTTCACCTTAAGTATCTCTCAAATCCACTCATTCATCTCTATCTCCACCAATCTCATTTCTTCTTCTTCCTAAATCTCCTTTACAGTACCTCCATATGATTAACTCTTTCCTATCTCCCTTCTCTAGCCAAGACATGTCTTTTTCTCTCTCAAAACACCTCTTAGATACCTTCACTCATGGCCAGAATGGTAGCTCACACCTGTAATCCCAGCTACATGGGAGGCAGAGATAAAAGGATCATGGTTCAAAGCTGCCTAGACAAAAAGCATGAGACCCAATCTGAAAAATAATTAAAGCCAAAAAGGCTGGAGGCATGACTCATGTGATAGAGTGTGCTTGCCTACCAAGTGTGAGGCCTTGTGTTCAAACCCCAGTACTAGAAAGAAAAGAAACCTTCACTTATTAATTCAACCCAATATCATTCCTTACTAGGAAAACATTAAGTAACAGATTCAAAGTCATGGTTTATTTAGTCCAATATTATCTTTGACACCAACAAGATATTACGGCCTTCTGTAGTCAGTCATTACTCAAACACACTAATTATGTAAAAATGCATTAAGTACTATACAAGTTACATGTCTTTTATAGATGTGTATGTATTTTCAGCTTTCTCTACTTCCTAAGATTGTAACATCCACAACTTATCATCGATCATTTTAGGCTGAACTTCTTATATTTCGCTTTTTTTTTTTTTTTTTTGGCAGTATTGGGTTTGAACTCAGGGCCTTGCACTTGCTAGGCAGGTACTCTATCACTTGAGCCACTCCACCAGCCCTGACTCTTTTATTTGTTCTGAGTCTACCTTTTTCAAATATGAAGGAACTCCTCTCATTTTAGCACTCTCAGCTTCGGTAAACAAACCAACACTTTCCTGACCTACATCATTAGCAATTTTAAAGAAATTACAAAAATAAATAAAGCATGGATCACACTCTTAGACACTGTTTTTATCAGCTGTATTCCATAGCTGTATTTTTGTCTCCATAATAATGTCTCATAAGGAGAAGGTGATTAAGACATGTAAAACAAAATAAAAGGAATCCTGCTTAGGACTGACGTGCTGCACAAATGACATAAAATGAAAACAGAACTTCTCAAATATGTTAACTCTATTTCTCCTCAAGAAAAATGCTATTTGGGTAAAAAGGGTAGAAAGAATTGATGCCTAACCGGGTGAGGAGACAGTAACAGAACACCTGGCTGCTTAGATGGCACCGTTGCTCGTAAATGGAATCCCTGAACTGCTGCCAGTGCCGGAAGCACAGAACCAGAGCCTGGCCAAAAGCAGGAAAACAGTGAATGAATGTAGGTCTGATTGTTGAAAAACCAGAAAGAAATGCCAACAATGATCCAGTATACTTGACGTCAATCCTTTTCTAAATTCAGATTATTTATTTAAAATCAGCTCTTAACCATTTAGAAAAGAAAATGGTAGGCATTTGTAGAACCAACCTGAGTTGTAGTATATTAATCTAATACTTTTGCTTTAAGAGGATGTTTGTATAGTTAGATCACAGATCAGAAAGAAGCAGCAAAAATCCTGTGTTGGTAGAATTTCAACAAAACATACAAATGGATTGCGTTTTATGAATGTGGACATGAGAAACACAAGATGGGTGATCCTATACTTGGAGGACTAGGTAATCATGTGGACAGCCATAGCTAACAAATACTCATTAACTTTTTTATTTTACTAGCATATAATAGTTCTTCAGGGGACACACTGTGATATTTATATATATGCTTATAATATATCTTAGCTAGATTTACCCCCTCCATCAATCTCTCTCTTTTCCCCTCCCTCTCTTCTTAGAACAACTTCAACAGGTTTCATGCTTCTATTTTCATATATGGATATAAAATACATTCACCATATTCACCCTCATTCCCCCTTTCCTTATGCCCACCTACCTCCCACTGGTACCCACTCCTGGAAATGACTTAACAAATACTCATTAATGAACTGCTATCAAGCTGAAGAGCAGTCTACCAATAAGGTTCTGGAACCTATTATGTGGCCTTCTCCTGTTCAATTATTTAATCAATGACTTGAAGATGTGGAAGGTTTCTATAGTACTGTTGACATCTAATAACTATATGACATGAACTTGAAAAAATAACTAATTATACAGTATAATATTTTATACTTTCTACACAATATTTTATAGTATAAAGAATATATACTATAAAAGAGCCAGGATTTAAAACACAGTAAGTCAGAAAAATGAGTTGATTCTCCTAAAATAAAATTTAGAAAAAACACCCAAGGGATCACTATCTGTGTCCAAAAACATACTTATCACTTTGAGACAGGCAAACTGTAACTTAATTGCCACAAATGTTCCAAAAAAAAAGGGCCTCTAGACTCTGGTGGCACATGCCTGTAATCCTAGCTACTTGGAAGGATTGTGATGAGATCACTTCTGAGACCCTCCCCCCATCTCCAAAATAACCAGAGCAAACTGGACTGGAGGTGTGGCTCAAGCGTTAGAGCACCTGCTTTGCAAGGGTAAAGCCCTGAATTCAAACCCCAGTTCCCCACCCCCACAAAAAGAGCCGGTTTAATGGCTTTAGCTGTCAGCAGGCTTAGTTGATGTGATGGCAGCAAGCATTGTACGATAAAATGTGGATGTCAGGAAAGGTTATATGATACTAGCTGCAGCATTAACAGTAACTTAAAGGTGGGAGGTGACCGTCTTTCTCCACACTGGACTGATTAGACCACAAGTGGGATAATGCCTACTTTCTAGGGTCACAGTCTTCACAGGATCACTACAACACTGGCACATGTTCAGAACAGAACTAGGATGCTAGGAGCCTGGAGACTATTCCATGAAAGGAAAGGCAAAAGAGAGTGGCGTTTATACATAGGACAAAACAATGGCTTCGGAGGAAAATGATGGCTATCTTCACTCAGTCATTTAATGAGCATGAAGTTCAAACCACTTTCAGGAAAACATATTTCATCTGAGAATGTCCATTTCACAGAGACAAGATAGCCCACGACTGCGAGAAATTCTTATGAATGTTCAGATATGCATGTCTGAAGAGTTGAAACAACCATGATCTAAAAAATAATTGCATTATTCCATATGGTTTCATACGGTACAAATAGGACCAGTGGAGAGAAGGTGGTGAGTAACTGATTCAGTGCCTTATAAGGAAGGGTATTTTAAGAGTCAAGGCCAGGAAAGGAAGAAGCTTTGCATAGACTACAAAGTTCCCAACAGTGATGGTACTTAGAGGGGTACTGCTGAAGTAACACAGGCACTGACCTGCACCATGTTTAACCTTCTTCACATACCACACTATGATCTGTTCTTGCCCAGGAAATGGACCCTCACCAGATTCATCCCACTGTGGACTTCAGCACCCCAGGTTTCCCATGGTTGTTCCTTCCATTCTGTACCCTATCCCCACAAAAGCAATGCTTTCTAACTGGGGCCAGGTCTGAATCCAATCAAAATAGAGAAAATAGGAAGACACGAACCCATCAACAGATAGAACACACACACACACACACACACACACACACACAAAAACAGTACCTCTCCATGTGCCTTGAATTTGCAAAGAAAATGCAAGAATTCTGTGTCATTTAATTCGTAAATTCCACTAAAATACTCAATTATGTTCAATTATTGTAAATAAGTAATTGCTGTATACAGCATGACTAGTGGTGAGCCATTTTCTTCTAAACAACCAAGGAAAAAGTAATTTTAACTTACAATCACTGGGAAAATTCGTGTCTTAAATAAGCACTCCAAAACCCTCTACTATAAGACTGTGTGCATTCTAACTTTAGAATATATTCCTGAAAAGAGAAATGATTCATCAGACAGAGTAGGCCAAACGCCATGAACTAATCAAATTGTGGAATTCTGATTAAATAGCTACTTAAGTTTAATCTATTTAAAGATTACAGGATAAATAGAAAGAGGCCTAGATCATTTAGTTCTGGCTTTGCTACATTAGATTACCACCATTTAAAGCTTATCTTCACTTTATTTTTTAATAAATGCTGCAACTGGGCATTTAAGGAGTTCGCTCTCCAAACTATTTTCTTTTAACTTTTTGGAAGCAAGCCCTCACACTTCAGAGCGTTCTCAACTTGAACACAATAAACGGGACACAATTCCATTTCCCAGGGCTCCTTCTTTTTAAACAGCAGTCAGAAGACAAACGCGAGGAGGTACAGAGGCGCCTGCACGGAGCCAGCGTCCCCGAAAAGAGGCTTCCCCTCCGGTGGGCATCAATGCTGCCACCTCCACCATTTCTTAATCCACTGCCAGGACGTTCTGGGTACCAAAGAAAAGGAAAAGGTGATTCCGGTTTTCCTGGGACGGGGAGGTCCCCTTTTGTGGCAATGACTACAGCCAGGTTCCCCCCACCCCACCCCCCGGGATTTCCTCTCGTTGCCAAGGCAGCGCCAGCGCCAGGCGTCGCGCGCCAGGACAGCTCTGGCGGCCCACAGCCCAGGGAGGCCCCAGCCTGCGGCGCCCCCCAGACCACCGCGGACGGACGGAAGGAGACGCGGGCCGACTTACAGTGACACCATCCTAGGTGACAGCACCAGTGCAGCTTGAAGCACTTGCCATGGCTGTGCGTGGCACAGATGGACAGCCCGTCGCACGGCTGGAAGTCGGGTCTACGGGCCGCGCAACTCCGCGCCAGGGCCTGAGCCTCGTCCACTTTCTCGCTCTTCCAAGCGCGCTCCGGCGCCGGCGTGGCCGCCGCACTCATCGCCTCTGCCGCGGCGCGGGGCCGGTGAAGTGGCGTCCGGGGCGCGGGCAGGCAGGCGGGACGCGGGCCGGGAGTCAGGCTAGCGCGGGGCGGCGGCGGGAGCGCGGTGTCCCAGGCTCACGGAGAAGCAGCCCCGGCGGGCGGGCGAGCGCTGCGACGGGGCCGGGCCTGCAGCCTCCCTCCTCGGTCGGTCCCTCCCCTCCTGCTTCCCTCGGCCGCCGCCGCGCCCCCACGCGCACGCGCACACGCACGCGCCGCCGGCGAGCCCGGCCTCACGCACGCCCTGCCCGCCTCCCGCCGCGACTGGTTCCTTGGCAGCCGCCTGGGGCCTCGCGCAGATCCGAGGAGGGCGGGCAGCACAGACGCGTGGCTCACACGCACGCTGGAAAACGGGCACCCACGCATCCACGCTCCACCGACAGCCGTGTCCCCGGGGCCGCAGCCGCCAACCCCTCAGTGGGCCGCCCGGGCGCGTCTCCCACCAAGGTTTCCTCGCGCGCACGCAGCCTCTCCGCGCTCGTGGCGCTCATTTCCCTCTAGCACGGCGCCCACCTCCCAAGGGGTAGGGAAGAGCCCCCGTCCCGCACGCCGGGGCAGGAGCCATGGGTCCACGGCACCAGAACCTGGTGATTCCTGCACCTGTCCGCCCCAAGCTTATCCAGGGCCGCATCCCGCCCACATGCTGAGCAGGAAAGCAACCGGCTGGGCACACTGTGTGGGTGATTATGTGGGGTCTGTGTGGTGGTCTGTGGTAGTTGGATGTATGAGGTTGGACCCATGATACCTGGGGGCGGGATGCATAATGCGCTGAGTTTTCGATGAAGCGTCTGTGTGTGCATGGGATGTGTATGACTAAGGTACAGTGTGGGGTGGCTGTAGTTTGGTATTTGTGTAGAAAGAGTGCCTGTGTGTACGTGGCCTGTGGATGGGTATGATTAATTACATAGTGTGTATACGGGGTGTGTGTGGCTGGATGGTGGGTGTGACTGGCAAGGCATGTGCCTGGTGTATGGGTGGAGTTGGCACGGATATGATCATGCAGATAGGACTCGTGTCTGTCTGCCTTTCAGTGTCAATGCCCACCCTGGCCAGTGAGTGTGACTTGTCTGGATGGTGGCTGCCACTCCCTGCACACAGTCGGCTTGTGTTCTTCCCTCCTGGCGACAAGTTGCACCAAATAGATTTTCCATGCCAGGCTCTGCTTGCTGAGAAACGGACCCCAGACTGGATTCAGTGAAGAGAAAACAAAGCATTTGTTCCCAGGGATGCACTGTTGGGAATTTCTGTTTCCCTGCAACAGGGCCAGAACCAAGCTGGAACACAGAAAAGGAAGGGACACCCTCTCTGTATTTGCCAAACACTTCTCAGGGCACAGGAAAATGCCTGTAATTACCGAGGTTCAGGTACCAACAAAGCCTTGAACACAAATGCTGCACTGGAACATGTTGATGCCAGGTTTCCATTCCCCTTCACTTTATTCCTTCCCTGCGTTGCACTGACAGGAAACTCATCCTGGATTTGAAAGAACAAAATCCATCCACAAGCCCTGAAAATCCTTGCTGCTGTAAGCAATCTTTCATAATTGTCCTTTTTATTTAACCTTGGCTTGAGAAAGGAAATGTAATTTACCTATATCTGACTGTAGTAAAATCTTCATTTATCAAGGGATGGAGAGAGACTTAATTTGGCAGCAAAGATTATTTCGAAGAAATGACTGAAGCTGAGTCACAAACTGTGGCTCACCCATTAACCTAATGTTGAAAGAGTTGTAAGCAGGAGACACCATCTCTTTATCTTCCTTCCCAGGTTCCTCCCTCCCCAAAAATCTTAAAGACATGCATCCCTGTTAAATTCATATACTCACCCACCTTAGAATAACTTAAGCAAAAGGAAGAGAAAATCAATGAAATTCATACATTATTACTGCATCAATCCAACCCCCCCAATTTTTTTGAACAAAGAGGGATTTCCATCTGTTTCGTACTGTTTTTCTCCTTCAACATATATGCTCCCTCTACTATTGTTTTTATCATATAAGGCCTGATCACTGAATTCCTTCATGAGTACTTCCACAGTCTACTTCCACTGGCTTTTCTTTCTAAGATAAACCATGTTATACAATTCCACCGCACATGAAATCAACCATCTTGAGAAAAATGAGCTTGAAAAAGAATGCAATATAGCACTTTAGCCAAGGGTCAGTGTAACTTACCCAAACATCCCAATTTTCATTAGCCACAAGTTTGGAAGCTGAAAACCTTTTCATGTCCTTCCCATGACACTCATTGCATCCCTTTGTCCTAAATATGTTACTAACTTCTATGTCTAGTACAGGTCAGGGGGAGATAAGTGCTGTGACCTTCAAACATATACACAGCTTTTATTATGAAAATTTCAACCTGTACAAAAGCAGAATAGTAATAATGAACCTCTGTACCCATTACCTGGTTTCAATAATTATGAATTCATTTAGAAAATCTTTGTTTTGTCTGTAGCTCCACTCACGCCTGATCCTCGCCCTGCCACTGTGTTATTTTAAAAGCAAATCTCAGACACCATTTAATTTTGTCCATACATATATCAATGTATATCTCTAAAACAACTTTTAAAACTATAACACCAGTATCACATAATAGGATAAGATTTGATCATGAAGGTGAACTTGTCAAACTGCTGGCTGCCTCTCTAGCAGTGAGCAATGCCATTCCCTGTGCCTGGCATTTTCCCCTTCTTCCTCTTTGTCCTCTGCCTATCTCTTCAGCTCCAGGCAGTGCATTTCCTCAAAGAAGCTTTCTCTCACCAACTCAAACTAAGTTATATTCACTCTCCCTTCATATCACATATCCCAACTTTAAACAAATAAGAAGGAATCATTGAATTAATGTCTTTCCCCATTTCCTTCCCCCCATCAAACACTATGAACTCACACTCATAGTGTTTATGTCTTGTTCACCATCTTCTCCCCAGTAGCCAGAAAATAAATAAATGTTGAAGTAGTGAAAATAATTCCATTGCAAACTCCAAAAGGGTGGCAAAAATTAATCTTTGCTAAATTGTTTGTAAACTTGTGAATAACACATATAGTTACTCTTCTTATGAGGACAGCCTCAGTTTCCTCTCACACTGACTTTGAGCATAGTAACAGTGTATTAATTACTTGTTACTGTGTAATGAATTATTCCCAGATTCAAACAACACTCAAACTTCAGCAGTTAAGGAACCCAGTTGTGCCTAGAAAGGTAGTCTGCTTCAATATCCCTCACAAAGCTGCCATGCAGTTGTGGACCCTGCTGCATTATCATCTAACGGTTCAACTGGGAATGACTCCGCTTCCAAGTTCACTCACTCAGCAGTTGACAAGACTCAGTTCCTTGAGGAACTGATGGGTTGAAGATTCAGTTCCTCACTGGTTGTTTGGCTGATTCATACATGGTTTTATCAAAGCATGCATATCCTTAAGAAAAGTCAAGGCTGTGTTTGCAGCTCATTGGCAAACACTTGTCTAGCACGCATGAGGCTCAAACTCAGATCCCAACCTGTAAAAAAAAATTGTGTCACTATCTTTTATAACCTAATCCAGGGAGGGATCTCACATCATCTACACTGTCTTTTATTTATAAGAAGCATGTTTCTAGGACCATCCCTGGGCAAGGGGAGAAGATTACACCAGGGCAGGAAGAAGACAAGAATCACTAGGAACCATTTCAGAAACTGCCTATTGTACCATGTGACTTGTTTTAGTCAGTGGGAGACTAGTAAATATAACAGTGAAGATTTGCAAGGCGCACTCTCCCTGTGTTTGCCCTTGTGTGTACAAGCCTGAGCAAGCCTGCTAAAAGATGAAATGACTTTTGGAGGAGAATGGAGGTGTCCCCAGTTGATGAGCAGCCAAGCCCCAAGTCTGTCAATCACTAGAAATATGAGTGGGGCTCTACTAGATACTGCTAGACATACCAGTTGATCACTGAGGCATACAAGAGTCCAGGAGCGATCTGGTGAGTCACTCCATACCACAGCAATCATCAGAATGAACCATAGAATAGCCAGCTACATAAAATGGCAGTTGTTTAAGATACTACATTTTTGGTTGTTTCTTACACAGCAAAAGCTAATTGATACATCTACCAGTCCTCTCGGGTTGTAAACAAAGTAACTGAGGACTCAAGAGGCTATGTGTGTTGCTCAATGTCACAGCGTACCAAGCATGGTAAAAAGATCTCTAGGACTTGCCATCAGAACAATACAAATGGTTCAAGTCGAAGTGCTGTCATTTATTGGCTGGCAAATCCCTTATACTTTCTGGACTTCACTTTCTTTATAAAATAAAGACTGATATGTTTCTCTGGAACGTCATTTAGTACTCAAAGCTATGACTTGTCCATTTGGTCATAGAACTAAAATTAGAATCTTTCTCGTTCATATGTCACTTGTGAATAGCCAGATATTCTCTCCCTATTGAACTGCACATATTTGTCTACTGTTAATATAAGCTATCTTTCACACTAGCCCTTCTGGACACTTTGATAAATTGAGTCACTACAAATCAGTTAGTTTGTGGTTGCTTGATTGAACCTAGCAACTAATTCCACCATGGTTATAAATAACCCGCTAGTAATTGGTCAATTAGTCATATTAAAACAATTAGAGTGATGAAGTAGATGGAGCAGCTTCCAAATGCAGTGCAACTGAATTCAGAGATTTCTGAGGAGGAAGGAGGCCTGTTCAGCATAGCTGCTGGCACAGTTCAGACTCTCATCATTTGCTCCAGTGTAAGAAAAGAACAACAACTTTGGAATCAGGCAAAGTTCAACTCTACTGCCATCTTGCCGAGAGATGTTGGACAAAGTTATTGAGTGTCATTTCTTAAATGGGAATTATAATTCCTACCTCATACACTTGCCATGAACATTAAATACAAGTGAGGAGATGAGCTCTGTATCCAGCACGTTGCAGGTACTCAAAAAATATTAATCCTCCTCTTCCCAGCACCTCCAAACACCCTCCATGTCCACAGACTG